GATGGATCAAACCTCGTGACTCATAATTAAGCAAAAACATGTTTAGTTTCTTAACAACCAATTCACTTTTTTATAATCACAAAATGATAAACTTTAATGCCGTATATGCTGTAATTGATTATGCACAGTGTAGTAAAGGTCTACCTTACAGCATTGTAATCTTGTAGCACTTGGAAAGTTCCCTGCTGTTTGTCCGAGAACCATTGCCCATTAGTGGCCACTTTCTTAAGATTAGCGTCAAAGGACAGCTTCATGTTTTGCTGAAAAAATGGAAAAATGGGATGAAATTCACTTTATATTTAAACCTTCTTAATTGGTACATTGTAGAATAAATAAGCTTTGAATAATTAAGTAGCATATACTTTTAACTTAATATGTACACGGGTAGTTTGGAAAATCATTTTAATGAACTGACAAAATTAAAATTGTTATTTTTTTACGTTCAATAATTAGCTAAAAAATTCTTTATATTATGGTTATTATGTATAAGTACTATTTAATTGAGCCTAACACGTGACCCCAGACAGAACCTTTTCTTGCCGTACCTAATTTGAAGAGATGGACATAAAACTTGAGTAAGCAAGCTAGGTGACCTACACTTTATTGGTGCACCGGCCCTCGTCATCTACAAATATTGCTGTAATCGTAAATAATCAGCAACTCCAAATTTCAAGTACTGTATATACATAAACTGCTCATGTCTTTTGCCAGGTACAGTGTAAGTTACTCTGTTACACTTTATTTACTAGATAATTTTGTCTGAAGGTTTGTGCAATGTACGTGACGGTACTGGTACTAGTAGTCTGATGGCTGCAAGCTAACAAAGACTTACACCAGCCATGTAGCCCTTTCCTGCGACGTTTAGTCCCTGACTTTGTCCAACAGTTCCTTCCCATTGCGGCGGTATACAGCACGGCTGTTGGGACAAAGCAGGAACCACAATGATCAAAATGCTGAATACTACGATGACGTTCTTCATCTTTGATTTAACTCAGCTTTAGGAGCGTCAATTCTTAATTGCTGTTCTTGTTAGTGTCGCTGCTTTTATAGGTAGAGGTAGTTTCGCAATGCTGAGCTTATCAGTACTTGTGTACTAATGGTTGGTGGAGAATGAGTGGGATTTATTCAGAACGCACTATCAGATCTCATTAGTTTACAAGTGTAGATAACTGTAACTCTACCTGCCAGTCTTGTGACTTTGGGCCGTACTCTCCTGACAGCTGCCTCGTTTTCAATGTTTATTTCTCCGTAAGAAATCGCGAACTTGAGACATATCATATGTGGTATATGGCTGATATATAAAAGACTTCTTGACATTTTGTGTAAATAAGTAAAATAGAGTTGAAGCATTACAAGCTATACATAGATATTGTGTAACGTGCCAGTGAACATGATCACGCACTTTATTTGGAGCAACAAAAATCCGGTGCACAGAATTAAGATAAAGTTACAATTATCATAATATAAATAAATAAATAAATGAATAAATAATGATTTATAGAAATTAAAGAATGATATGAAAATAAGTGATACATGTATATTAACATTTTCAAAAGGTTTTATGATAGAACAGTCATATACTTAGTTCTATAATTAATGAAGTGAAAATGTCTTAATTAAGTACTGTGCATGGTATAGATGTCAAATATATGACACAAGTTTAATTGTTCTCTTCCTGTTTTAATCATTGCAGTAATATCTGAGCCACAGGTTTAAGACTCACCTGGACAGTGGTCATTTGGTCATCATGGCTGCCCCAGTGGTGACCCCAGAGCAGAACAGAGGCACACTGCGAGGAAAAATTGCAGCCAAAAAGAAGAAATCTTTAAAACAAGTTTTGAGTTCACCATACAATGTCTCATGGTATGTGTATTACAAGTATAGTACATTAATTAATTCTCATCTCTTCTTTTTCTTCTTTTGCTGGTTTTATCTGACCAATTCATAAATATCTGAATAAACCAATAAACAGTAGGAAAAATAGGTAATTACAATATTGTTATATCTACCATGAATATTTGTTATCCAAATTGTAAAGCTGCTATACAAAAGGTCTTATCTGTGGGATAAGTATCATGTACATGTAATAGCACAGCAATTGAGCTTTGATGAAAAGGATTGCTTCTTAAGTTCACAATCTTTTGTCATGGTTACCATTCCAGGCCTGCAGTGGAAAAACAAACAGAAGTGGTTCTTCTGGAGAGGATAAAAAAGTGAGTTTTATTTTTTTTTCAATAATATTTATAAGGTAAACATAAGAGTGTGTGTTTACGTTATTGTAATCATGTTGAATAGAAATACATGAGACTACAGAAAACAAAACAACCATTTGAAATCTTTCATTATTTATTTATTATTATAATTCACTTATTTATTCTTTAATACATTTATTTTCTTTATTTTTACATTTTAAAATGACAACCCATAATTGTTTACATTAACATATTAAGACAAAATACAACACTAGAAAATAAAATGAAAACCCCTGGTCTTAAATTCTCCACTGCTTCCAGGGAGTTGTCCCAGAATTTTGTCACCCGTCCAAGAGTACCACAACAGATAAGACGAAATAAGCAACAGATGAAGAAGTGGAGAGAGGAGCAGAGGAAAGTAGAGGACATAGCCAGCAAGTGCGTCATCAAGATTATATATGTTTGTTAATAATCTGATCATTATTCATTTATAATGTCATTAATTAATTAATTAATTAATTAAAATTTGTTCAATATGACTACATATTGTAGTGTGTCAATATGATCATTCTTATATATATATATATATATATGACGAGAACAGTATAGTAATTTGAGAAATTAAATTATAAGCTTAAGCTAGGTTTTGAAGTAAAAAGCAATGTTGATGGTCATGTTTATTTGTTATATTTCACAAAAAGTTTAAGTTGATTCTAAGTTGGTATAAGTTGAGCTTTTAGAGATTTATTTTATGGAGAATTGAACATGTCTATATTATTTTATATTAATATCACTGGTTTATGGAGCTTTTATTAATTTCATGTTGTATTTGTAGGGCCACCCAGTCCAGTGTGTACATAGGTATAAACAGAGTGACCAAAGGGCTAGAGAGGGATGAGGTCAGTGCAGTCATTGTTGACCGTGATGTCCCTGTGATGATGACCCGTCATTTAATGTTGCTTGCAGCAACCCGAGACTGCCCTGCAGTTTGTCTGTCTGGATTGAGCAGTGTGATTGGACCGGTGGTGGGCATGAAAAGTGTTGCAGCCATTTCCTTCAAGGTTTGACATTTTTATTAGGATTAATGATGGTCTTTCCAATTCATTATTACAGGCAATTCAGAATCTCTTAGATATGGACACCCTGAAACTACTTTGTAAAGCACAGAATAAAAATCTTAAAGGCATTTACATGAACAGTAATTAAGGAGTGGTTTAAATATCACTTATAGCTGGTAAAAATGTACAATTTAAAATAACCTTAACAAAAACCAAAAAAAAAAAAAAAAGACATTAAAATCCATCCTTATAGTCTGTCATGTGATCAAGGCACTTTAATAAAGGGTTGAAATGTCTTGCCTCATAATTAAAAAGGTAAAACTGATTTCCTTTACCATTTTATTTTAGAAAAAATCATTTAATATTGACATTTATGTGAATGTGTATTAAGGGAGGGAAAACTTTTTTTTAATCGAAGGTGCACCTGTTTATAAGAATAATTAGAACTATTTGCTGGAAAAAAGTTTGTGGATCAGACAGTAAATATGCCTTATGTTTCCATGTTTAACTTAATACTCTGCTTGTAAAACAAATATTTATCATTTACAGAAGAGTGTTCAAGGAGCAAGCACCCTGTATGATGACCTTGTGGAGTTTGTCTCTTCTCATGCACCTGTACTACAAGTGCCATGGCTGGTGAAGGAGGAGGAGGAGGAATCTGAGGATTCTTCATCAGCAGAGGAACGAGATCCAGATCTGGTAGATACAAGCAATAAATATATGACAGAAGATAAATTGTCTGAGAATAAACAGTTGCACCCTCAAGCAGACAATGCAGCTAAAGCACAGATAATTCCCAAGTCAGCAGATAGGCCATGTGGTCAAAATCTAGCCAGTGAGATGCCAGGTTACATTGGACGTAGCAGTGTTATTCAGCAGGCAGCAACTTTTTCAACTAATAAGTCAACTGGTTACATCTCTTTTGATTCAGACGGTCCTCAGACCTCAAAGATTTCACACAGTGAAAGTGGAAAGAGAATTTATTATGCACCAGCTTATTCTTCTGGTACATCCATTTTACATCTGTATCTTTTGAAGTCAGAATTAAACAATCCTGATGAATTTACAGAATTCATTCCACATAACTACCGTTCCCTTAGTCCTGAACCAGAACTTATCCCAAAAGACACAAACCCGAACTCCAGAACTGACAGGACTCAAACATTAAAAGATCTAAGGGAAAAAACTAAAGTTACCAAGAAGAGAAAATTGGATAATCCAAGGACAGAGGATGTTCCTAAAAAGAGGTTGAAAAAGAAATCAGGAAAGTGGAAGAAAAGTGTAAAGGAGAAAAAGAATAGAAACCCTAAATATCAAAAAGCTCGGCAGATGGCGCAGCAGTCAAATCCAAACAGAAAGAAAAAGCAAAGGCGACATTAAAGGCCTAACTAAGACGTAAATTTTAAAGTGATCTTTGGTTTGATGGATATCAGCATATATGCTTTCAAATTTCTGTTTAATATATGCTTCTTGGACATATTCCTAAATTTGAAAATGAAGAAGCTGGACTCGCTGCATAAAATCTGAAACTTGGACCAAGAACTTGGTGAATTGCATTTATATACATAATTTGTCAGTTAGAATAGCTGTATTTTATTACCATAATTGATAATTACTCTTAAAATCGTGAAAAATGAACTAACAATTTAAAATTTTGACTCTGACTTTTCAATATTTAAGAATGAGGTCTTTGAATTGAATTTTACCTTAATTACTTTAAAGAGAGAAGAACAGTGGTCAGGCAATTATAAAAATGGCCTTCATAATTAAAATTTGACATACAGTTTCTAATTTTTTTTTGTAAAACTTCCACTTCGTGTGATCAATAAATGCAAATATCATCTTTAGGTTTCAAAGATCTTTATTCAGTATGTCTTTATTCCTTATGACATCTCATCGTCATCATATAAATAAATCTTAAGGACAAATAACTTTATCAAACTTGCTTACTAGATGGAAATGTTAAAAAATATTTGGCTGTTATTTGTTCTGGATAAAAATGGAGGATTATATATTAATGCAGGTATCTTTGATTGCCTTTTCTGTTAATCAGAATTATTATGTACAGACACAGATGTGTCTGTACATATAGCCATCATCTGTGTCTGTCGTCGCCGTCGCCGTCGTCGCCGTCGCCGTGCACTTTTACCGATAACAGGATAAGTGGAAAACCATTTTACCTTTTGACTTGAAACTTACAGAACTGATGAATATTCATAATACGCAGGTCAAGTTCGAAAATCAGCATGATCGGGTTACTTTTAGGGAATTTATGCTGTTTNCTTTACAGCATTGTAATCTTGTAGCACTTGGAAAGTTCCCTGCTGTTTGTCCGAGAACCATTGCCCATTAGTGGCCACTTTTTTAAGATTAGCGTCAAAGGACAGCTTCATGTTTTGCTGAAAAAATGGAAAAATGGGATGAAATTCACTTTATATTTAAACCTTCTTAATTGGTACATTGTAGAATAAATAAGCTTTGAATAATTAAGTAGCATATACTTTTAACTTAATATGTACACGGGTAGTTTGGAAAATCATTTTAATGAACTGACAAAATTAAAATTGTTATTTTTTTACGTTCAATAATTAGCTAAAAAATTCTTTATATTATGGTTATTATGTATAAGTACTATTTAATTGAGCCTAACACGTGACCCCAGACAGAACCTTTTCTTGCCGTACCTAATTTGAAGAGATGGACATAAAACTTGAGTAAGCAAGCTAGGTGACCTACACTTTATTGGTGCACCCTCGTCATCTACAAATATTGCTGTAATCGTAAATAATCAGCAACTCCAAATTTCATGTACTGTATATACATAAACTGCTCATGTCTTTTGCCAGGTACAGTGTAAGTTACTCTGTTACACTTTATTTACTAGATAATTTTGTCTGAAGGTTTGTGCAATGTACGTGACGGTACTGGTACTAGTAGTCTGATGGCTGCAAGCTAACGTAAACAATGTTTCTTACACCAGCCATGTAGCCCTTTCCTGCGACGTTAAGTCCCTGACTTTGTCCAACAGTTCCTTCCCATTGCGGCGGTATACAGCATGGCTGTTGGGACAAAGCAGGAACCACAATGATCAAAATGCTGAATACTACGATGACGGTCTTCATCTTTGATTTAACACAGCTTTAGGAGCGTCAATTCTTAATTGCTGTTCTTGTTAGTGTCGCTGCTTTTATAGGTAGAGGTAGTTTCGCAATGCCGAGCTTATCAGTACTTGTGTACTTAAGGTTGGTGGAGAATGAGTGGGATTTATTCAGAACGCACTGTCAGATCTCGTTAGTTTACTAGTGTAGATAACTGTAACTCTACCTGCCAGTCTTGTGACTTTGGGCCGTACTCTCCTGACAGCTGCCTCGTTTTCAATGTTTATTTCTCCGTAAGAAATCGCAAACTTGAGACATATCATATGTGGTATATGGCTGATATATAAAAGACTTCTTGACATTTTGTGTAAATAAGTAAAATAGAGTTGAAGCATTACAAGCTATACATAGATATTGTGTAACATGCCAGTGAACATGATCACGCACTTTATTTGGAGCAACAAAAATCCGGTGCACAGAATTAAGATAAAGTTACAATTATCATAATATAAATAAATAAATAAATAAATAATGATTTATAGAAATTAAAGAATGATATGAAAATAAGTGATACATGTATATTAATATTTTTCAAAAGGTTTTATGATAGAACAGTCATATACTTAGTTCTATAATTAATGAAGTGAAAATGTCTTAATTAATTACTGTGCATGGTTATAGATGTCAAATATATGACACAAGTTTAATTGTTCTCTTCCTGTTTTAATCATTGCAGTAATATCTGAGCCACAGGTTTAAGACTCACCTGGACAGTGGTCATTTGGTCATCATGGCTGCCCCAGTGGTGACCCCAGAGCAGGACAGAGGCACACTGCGAGGAAAAATTGCAGCCAAAAAGAAGAAATCTTTAAAACAAGTTTTGCGTTCACCATACAATGTCTCATGGTATTTATATTACCAGTAGTACATAATTAATTCTCATCTCTTCTTTTTTTTTTCTTTTGCTGGTTTTATCTGGCCAATACGTATTATTATTTAAAATATCTAAAATATAGGAAAAAAAGATTATTACAATATTTTTATATCTACCATGAATATTTATTATCCAAATTGTAAGAGCTGCTATACAGAAGGTCTTCTCTGTGGGATAAGAATCATATAGTATATAATAGCACAGCGATTGGGCTTTGATGGAAAGGATTGCTTCTTCACAGTCTGTTGTCATGGTTACCATTCCAGGCCTGCAGTGGAAAAACAAACAGAAGTGGTTCTTCTGGAGAGGATAAAAAAGTGAGTTTTATTCTTTTTCAAGTATAAGGTAAACATAAGAATGTTTAATTTATTGTAATCATGGTTAATAGAAATATATGAGACTACAGAAAACAAAACAACAATTTGACATCTTTCATTATTTATTTATTTATCATAATTCATTTATTTATTCTTTTATACATTTATTTCTTTATTTTTACATTTTAAAATGACAACCCATAATTGCTTACATTTACATATTGAGACAATATGTAACACCAGAAAATAAAACCCATGGTTTTTAATTCTCCATTGCTTCCAGGGAGTTGTCCCAGAATTTTGTCACGCACCCAAAAGTACCACAACAGATAAGACGGAATAAGCAACAGATGAAGAAGTGGAGAGAGGAGCAGAGGAAAGTAGAGGACATAGACAGCAAGTATGTCATCAAGATTATATATTTGTTACTAATCTGATTAGTATTGATTTATTATGCTGTTATTTAATTAATTAATTAAAAAGTGTTCAACATGATTACATATTTTAGTGTGCCCATATGATCGTACTTAGTATGATATATATGCATTACAAGTACAGCATAGTAATTTAATTGAGAATATTACATGATGAGCCGAAAGTTTTGAAGTAGAAAGTAATATTTATGGTTATGTTGATTTATTTTATTTCACAAAAAGTTTACATTGATTCTAAGGTATAAGTTGAGTATTTAGAGATTTATTTTATGGAGAATTAATCATGTCTATATTATATTATATTATATTATATTATATTATATTATATTATATTATATTATATTATATTATATTAATATCACTGGTTTATGGAGCTTTTATTAAATTCATGTTATATTTGTAGGGCCTCCCAGTCCAGTGTGTACATAGGTATAAACAGAGTGACCAAAGGGCTGGAGAGGGACGAGGTCAGAGCAGTCATTGTTGACCGTGATGTCCCTCTGATGATGACCCGTCATCTGATGTTGCTTGCGGCAACCCGAGACTGCCCTGCAGTTTGTCTGTCTGGATTGAGCAATGTGATTGGACCAGTGGTGGGCATGAAAAGTGTTGCAGCCATTTCCTTCAAGGTTTGACATTTTTATTAGGATTAATGATGGTCTTTCCAGTTCATTATTACAGGCAATGCAGAATCTCTTAGATATGACCACCCTGAAACTACTTTGTAAAGCACAGAATAAAAATCTTAAAGGCATTTACATGAACAGTAATTAAGGAGTGGTTTAAATATCACTTATAGCTGGTAAAAATGTACAATTTAAAATAACCTTAACAAAAACCAAAAAAAAAAGAAAAAAAAAAGACATTAAAATCCATCCTCATAGTCTGTCATGTGATCAAGGCACTTTAATAAAGGGTTGAAATGTCTTGCCTCATAATTAAAAAGGTAAAACTGATTTCCTTTACCATTTTATTTTAGAAAAAATCATTAAATATTGACATTTATGTGAATGTGTATTAAGGGAGGGAAAACTTTTTTTTAATCGAAGGTGCACCTGTTTATAAGAATAATTAGAACTATTTGCTGGAAAAAAGTTTGTGGATCAGACAGTAAATATGCCTTATGTTTCCATGTTTAACTTAATACTCTGCTTGTAAAACAAATATTTATCATTTACAGAAGAGTGTTCAAGGAGCAAGCACCCTGTATGATGACCTTGTGGAGTTTGTCTCTTCTCATGCACCTGTACTACAAGTGCCATGGCTGGTGAAGGAGGAGGAGGAGGAATCTGAGGATTCTTCATCAGCAGAGGAACGAGATCCAGATCTGGTAGATACAAGCAATAAATATATGACAGAAGATAAATTGTCTGAGAATAAACAGTTGCACCCTCAAGCAGAAAATGCATCTAAAGCACAGATAATTCCCAAGTCAGCAGATGGACCATGTGATCAAAATCCAGCCAGTGAGATGCCAGGTTACATTGGACATAGCAGTGTTATTCAGCAGGCAGCAAATTTTTCCACTAATAAGTCAACTGGTTACATCTCTTTTGATTCAGACGGTCCTCATAAATCAAAGATTTCACACAGTGAAGGTGGAAAGAGAATTTATTATGCACCAGCTTATTCTTCTGGTACATCCATTTTACATCTGTATCTTTTGAAGTCAGAATTAAACAATCCTGATGAATTTACAGAATTCATCCCACATAACTACCGTTCCTTAAGTCCTGAACCAGAACATATTCCAAAAGACACAAATCCTAACTCCAGAACTGACAGGACTCAAACAATAAAAGATCTAAGGGACAAACATGAAGTTACAAAGAAGAGAAAATTGGACAATCCAAGTACAGAGGATGTTCCTAAAAAGAGGTTGAAAAAGAAATCAGGAAAGTGGAAGAAAAGTGTAAAGGAGAAAAAGAATAGAAACCCTAAATATCAAAAAGCTCGGCAGATGGCGCAGCAGTCAAATCCAAACAGAAAGAAAAAGCAAAGGCGACATTAAAGGCCTAACTAAGACGTACATTTTAAAGTGATCTTTGGTTTGATGGATATCAGCATATATGCTTTCAAATTTCTGTTTAAAGTCATAATAACTCTTCGTTTTGGCCAAAAATTGGATTTTCCTGGAAAAAACGGCAATTTTCCCGTACTTACCAATGGCCAACGACCCCATTCCTGCATTCAAAGTTAATCCAGGGTTTTTTTCCTAAACGTACGGTTTTTTGTTAAAATCTCTTAAGAGATTTTAACTGACGGAGCTCTCTCTGACATTGCAAAGTCACTGGTGACCTACTTAAAACCGCGGGAAAAGCAGACAACAACAACACTATATAAGATTCATGAGATATATTCGTCTTTTTGTTAAAAATGCATTTATATCCACAATGTGTGCCATTCTGGGCTTTTCGTTATCCGACGCACTGTACAAAAACTCGCAACTTACGTCTGCGTCTGCACTAATGCGTTTGGCGCCATGTTATTTTGGTCTCGAATGAACACGAGAATCCGCGTGACACCATTACGTCATTAGCAACGAATGCACTTGTCGACCGGAAAAAAGGCATCGTAAGCCCTATTGACAAGCACAGATTTTAGTTTTCCTACAATAACGGCCGTTTTAGTGGTAAAATACAATAGAATATATTTCCATGCGTTTTTTACAATGTATTTCATGCGGATTTTTGAATCTCAAAGGAAGAGTTATTATTGCTTTAATATATGCTTCTTGGACATATTCCTAAATTTGAAAATGAAGATGCTGGACTCGCTGCATAAAATCTGAAACTTGGACCAAGAACTTGGTGAATTGCATTTATATACATAATTTGTCAGTTAGAATAGCTGTATTTTATTACCATAAATGATAATTACTCTTAAAATTGTGAAAAATGAACTAACAATTTAAAATTTTGACTCTGTCAGAAGTTTAAATAAGTTTTCTGGTGGGAAAGACAATTTTTTCAATATTTAAGAATGAGGTCTTTGAATTGAATTTTACCTTAATTACTTTAAAGAGAGAAGAGCAGTGGTCAGGCAATTATAAAAATGGCCTTCATAATTAAAATTTGACATACAGTTTCTAATTTTTTTTTGTAAAACTTCCACTTCATGTGATCAATAAATGCAAATATCATCTTCAGGTTTTAAAGATCTTTATTCAGTATGTCTTTATTCCTTATGACCCCTCATTGTCATCATATAAATAAATCTTAAGGAAAAATAACTTTATTAAACTTGCTTACTAGATGGAAATGTTATAAAATATTTGGCTGTTATTTGTTCATTCATGATTTTATACAGCTACTGGATAAAAATGGAGGATTATATATTAATGCAGGTATCTTTGATTGCCTTTTCTGTTAATCAGAATTATTTTTCTGGAGTCCACCTGTCCCTGCACACAATTCTATGTTTTTTTTCATCTGTATATATTCTAATTGGTCTGTTTGTGTTGTCGCTGTCGCTGTCCGATGCATAAAATTCGCCCCATAACTGCCACTTCGTATTTTTGTTTTTAAATGTACTGAGTGGCTTTCTTTAGTAAAGAGGCAGGTTGCTTTCCAAAACTGGCATGATTGATTTACATTTATGGCAATTGCTTTTTTTTTTGCACAATTTTGATGATGTTCACCCCATAACTGCCAAACTATTTTCGTTTCACTTTAAATTTACTGAGTGCCTTTGTTTGGCAAAGAAGCAGGTTGCTTTCGAAAATTGGCACGATCAGTATATATTTACGGTAATTATTCTGCCCAATTCTCATCACTAAAACGTCTCTCAATCTCATAAAGCAATATTCTTCTATAGTTTTTACTAAAACTTCATTTATTAGTTACCCTTTCCTATACACTTCTTGAATACATAAACATAAATGTCTAAATAGCGATAAGCTCAAATACCACACATACTCACACACACAAACACACACACATACACACACACAAAAAAAGAACACAGTCTGTTAATTCATCACTGTGACAGTTAATTTTACGTTCCTTTATAGTAAACTTTCTTGGATGTGGATATGTGCTCGTAGGTTTAACAATGACAAAGTTTAAGTATTTCATAATACTAGGAACTGTTAAAGAATTAAAAACCTATCAAATGCTACAAAGTTGGACATTCAATGTACATGTACATATTGTGAAAAATTTGGAATGTAATAAGTGAAAACAAAACTATGCATGAGATTTCAAAGAAGCTTATAAACCGAAAAAAAGAAGTATACATCAGCTTTGCAGCAATAATTCTAAAGAATTATGCAGAGTGATCTGTAAAATGTGGACAGGTGTCTTAATGAACAGTTCTGTGATAGTTCTCTGTTAGAAGTGAAGCGTTCCACAATCCTTAGAAATGTTATCATACTATCGGACATTTTAGAAGAGACGGATGTCCATGCCATTGTCCTGAAAGACAAAATATGAGAGAATATTGAAGCAAATTTAACGCTTTGTTATCAGTGTATTGTTAGATATGTTTCATGGCAAATATTAACAAATTTATAATTAGTGCCTCTCTCCTTGCGGGCATTTGCAATTGCATGCCTCCTTGCGTGTGTGCATGTGTGTGTGTGTGTGCACGCGCGCATGAGTGCTTAGGTCTGGATAGCCCAATTATTGGACATTCATGAAGTCAGAGTTGGTCTCCGACAAAATCAGGGGTAAATTTAGTGATAAATGATATAATACTTCACATTTGCATAGACAACATTAGAAAATCTGTACACTGGTGAACGTGTACTATCTTGGACAAAATATGACATTCAAGATCATATATATGATAATTATAAAACACAAGCTGAAATATTTTACTGTTAGCTTACAGTCANATGATGACCATTTAAGGAAAATCATGTCACTTACTGTTCTCAAACTTACAGGAAAGAAACATGGGACTAAAATACAGCTTCAGTAGGCAATGCAGTCTGTTTGGTATTTTTATTTATTTATTTATTTATTTTGGCAGTTAAACAGTTTTTTGTGAAAATTTAATTTTTCACATATTGGCATTTTCAAGGTGTGACTTTAAAGTTCCATGATCTTGAAGACTTTTGCTTGTCACATTTTCTGAATGTCCATGTTACTAATATTTTATTAATAACATTTGATTGTCATTATGCTGTTAAACATTATGTAATGTTGCATCAAAATTTGAAGAAACCCCTATTTTGGGCACTGCTCCTATGATGACCATTTAAGGGAAATCATGTCACTTACTGTTCTCAAACTTACAGGAAAGAAACATGGGTCTAACATACAGCTTCAATAGGCAACGCAGTCTGTTTGGTAAATTTTTCTGGCAATTTAACAGTTTTTTGTGAAAATTTAATTTTTCACTTATTTGCATCTTTATTTTCTGTTCTTTGTCTGTACATTTGACAGCTTTGCTGCCTTGTTTTTCTTGAGTCCACCTGTCCCTGCACTCAATTCTATGTTTTTATTCATCTGTGTATATTCTAATTGGTCTGTTTGTGTTGTCACTGTCGCTGTCCGATGCATAAAATTTGCCCCATAACTGCCACATCGTATTTTTGTTTTTAAATTTACTGAGTGGCTTTGTTTAGTAAAGAGGCAGGTTGCTTTCCAAAACTGGCATGATTGATTTACATTTATGGCAATTGCTTTTTTTTTTGCACAATTTTGATGATGTTCACCCCATAACTGCCAAACTATTTTCGTTTCACTTTAAATTTACTGAGTGCCTTTGTTTGGCAAAGAAGCAGGTTGCTTTCGAAAATTGGCACGATCAGTATATATTTACGGTAATTATTCTGCCCAATTCTCATCACTAAAACGTCTCTCAATCTCATAAAGCAATATTCTTCTATAGTTTTTACTAAAACTTCATTTATTAGTTACCCTTTCCTATACACTTCTTGAATACATAAACATAAATGTCTAAATAGCGATAAGCTCAAATACCACACATACTCACACACACAAACACACACACATACACACACACAAAAAAAGAACACAGTCTGTTAATTCATCACTGTGACAGTTAATTTTACGTTCCTTTATAGTAAACTTTCTTGGATGTGGATATGTGCTCGTAGGTTTAACAATGACAAAGTTTAAGTATTTCATAATACTAGGAACTGTTAAAGAATTAAAAACCTATCAAATGCTACAAAGTTGGACATTCAATGTACATGTACATATTGTGAAAAATTTGGAATGTAATAAGTGAAAACAAAACTATGCATGAGATTTCAAAGAAGCTTATAAACCGAAAAAAAGAAGTATACATCAGCTTTGCAGCAATAATTCTAAAGAATTATGCAGAGTGATCTGTAAAATGTGGACAGGTGTCTTAATGAACAGTTCTGTGATAGTTCTCTGTTAGAAGTGAAGCGTTCCACAATCCTTAGAAATGTTATCATACTATCGGACATTTTAGAAGAGACGGATGTCCATGCCATTGTCCTGAAAGACAAAATATGAGAGAATATTGAAGCAAATTTAACGCTTTGTTATCAGTGTATTGTTAGATATGTTTCATGGCAAATATTAACAAATTTATAATTAGTGCCTCTCTCCTTGCGGGCATTTGCAATTGCATGCCTCCTTGCGTGTGTGCATGTGTGTGTGTGTGTGCACGCGCGCATGAGTGCTTAGGTCTGGATAGCCCAATTATTGGACATTCATGAAGTCAGAGTTGGTCTCCGACAAAATCAGGGGTAAATTTAGTGATAAATGATATAATACTTCACATTTGCATAGACAACATTAGAAAATCTGTACACTGGTGAACGTGTACTATCTTGGACAAAATATGACATTCAAGATCATATATATGATAATTATAAAACACAAGCTGAAATATTTTACTGTTAGCTTACAGTCAACCTGGACATACAGGATTCTTCATTAGCAGAGGATGTAGGCCTTCATCAGACTGATATCAGTAGATATTGTTACTAATTGACTGCATTTTTGAAAATTATCATATCTGATCCAACTACCAAGCTGATGAACATTTTTGCTAACAATGGTCAGGAGTTTACCTTGTCCTTCTCATCTGCCTCCTTTGCTTTCTGGCAGCTTGCAGGCAAGGAAAAGACACTGGGGTCCTTGATTCCTGCTGAAACATTAGTCACTCCTTGTGCCGACATCATGCCAACTGAAAGTTCATCAGAAACAAATGTTATTTAACTAGCAGAGATGAAATTGGAGCTTACAGGGCTTGCCTTTCGGGAACAGGTAAAAATTCAGTTTGGACAGGGACAGACTTGTATGCAAGGTTAAACATTCAGGAGTTCAGACATTTTATATGAAAATTAATTCACTTAGGGTGCATTTTTCCCAGCTTATTTGATTGAGTATCTTGGTAATAAATGCATTATACATGTATGACAACAAGTATTAATTTACAAAGTTCACTGAGAGGTAATATGAATGGATAAAATTATTGGTTTTGTTGGACAGGCTGGATCCAAAATCTGACAGATCAAATTTATGACCTCCTGCCTGAAGGAAAGTTAGTGTCTAGCCCTGGCTTTTGAAAAAAAAAAAAAGGAAAATGAAAACACTGCAGGGCAGGGGGGTGCGTGTTTCCATAAAAATGAAAAAAAGGGGATGGGGGATTTCCACATGAATCTGAAAGCTTTTTTTTCCTGAAACTAGTCCCTAAGTGGGTGGAGAAGTTTACATTGCATATAAGGGTCAGTTGTGGCCATATGAAAGTGAACAGTTTTGTCATGTCAGTAACACCTGCATTTATTATTTCGTCACCCACCCCTAAATAATTTTTTTTTTTTGGGGGGGGGGGGGGGAGTGAGGGGAGGGGATGATAACATAACACCCCATGTCAAATGCACCACAGTTTTCTTTCCCAAAAAGCACCACTTTTCTTTTAAGGCTCTGATAATAATGCCCCCTTACCTCCTTTAGCTGATCCTTGTAATGAGCTGCCAATGGGAACACAGTCTTTGGCAGTGACTTGTGCGTAAGACGTCCCCATGACAGAGCTGGAGTTCATGAAGATGGCCCAGTTGTTGACTTTAATGCTATCGTCGCCAAGTCCCACTACAGCACTGCCCATGAATTTGGAAGTCTCTGTGATTAGAACGTGCAAATAAATATTTTCACTAATTTTGCAAAGATGGAAAGCTGAGATAATTTTATTGCTAACAAATACTTCTCCACCATTGATTTCTTTTGCTATAGAAAATATTAACATAAATTGTAATAAAATTATAAGATTAATCAGACATTACAAAATGATGATTCGTGAAAGATTGCATCTTTTTTTTTTTTAAATAAATGACAATGCTTCTATAACATTTAAGTTATTAGATTTAAGAAAAATTGTGCATTGAAATATATGTTCCAAACTCCTCTTATTTCCTTAATAATTCAAAATAGAACACAGATTTAGGCCAAAGGTCAGGGTCAAAGGTAAAGGTCAAAGGTTATATATACTAGGCATGCAGCCCATCCACAGTTGTGTCAGCTTGCTCTTAACACATGGTCCACCATTGGTGATCTGGTATTGTACGCCCTGCAAGAAAAATTTTAAGACAATGTTTTTGAAAATAAGGTTTTTGGTATGTTTATAGGTATATACAGTAAAAACTGAATCGTAATTATCAGTTAAAAATACTGAGTCCAGTGCATGGAATTTGAACTAGACATATGATGATCATTCAAAAAATAGAAAAATCAGAAAAAGGGTTCATTGTCTCTATAATATTATGATGGTAGTTAAGAAAAGAGACCAACTTAATAATATAAATTACGGAAAATAATTTTTACTTGGGCTCTGTTCACATGGAAAATCTATTTTCTAATAATCTATTTTCAGTATCTTGTGATCACGGTCTGTGCCCTGGATACGCGGCGTAATTACTGGCAGCCCGAGCGAGTTACTTCCAAAGCTGTAATTAATTCTCGGCTGCGCTCGGAGGAGATTCTGATACCTTGATGCATGAGCAGTAGGAAGTAAGAAAGTAAAGGGCGGTCGCGGTTGCTTTGAAAAATGTGTTTGTCGATTTTTTGCAACAAAAACATCCCCTTTGACCTTCCTCCAACTTGCTTTGCACGGTTACGTACCTATACTCCCCCGCACCGATACTCCCCCGCACCGATACTCCCCCGCTTCTTTACATCCCCGCACCGATACTCCCCCGTACCGATACTCCGCAAAAACACTACTCCCCCAAGGCATAGATTCCCTTGGCTTTGTAAACCCCATTCATAATTTACAACACTTTCTATAATGCTTTTTTTATCAAGATGCACCACCCTCTTGGGACCCAGAATTGACTAATTTTATTCGAAATATATTGGGAAAAATAAAGAACGTTACACCAAGTCAATCTCAGACTTAGTGTGCAGCTTGACAGTACGTAGGTCTACAGCTCTTCCTTGTGATTTTTGAGAAATGTTTTTGCAAAATTAATTTCGTTCTCCCACTGTACTCAGTAGTTACTGTATATATATTGAACGGCCTTTTATTTATTTATTTATTTATTTTTTTTTTTTACTAACTTAAGGCAAAGTTAGTTTTAATCTAAGATAACGCAGCTATGTCTTTTTTTTTTCGGGCAACGATGAATTCGTAAAATTATTAAGTAATAAAAAAGAAGTGCTAAAGCGCTTCGTTTTCTCTTTTTCCTCCAACCTTCTTTTCTGCTCTTTAAGCTTCTTTCCCTTGTCTTTTGAATCTGAATTAGATTAGAATCTGAATTGAGCAAAATTCAAAAATTTTGAAAATTGTTGCACAACGAAATTGTCGAGACACGAGCATGCGTCGTGAGCACGTCGTAAATATACTCGCAGTCCCGTCGTGTTTTCGATTTTGTTCGTTATAGATGTGAGGGCGTGCGCGTACTCAACACGCAAAGGGCTCTTTCTCCTTCATTTCTTGCGGCGTGCATCTTGGACCAAGCAAGTCTCACTTGCAAACCAATCGCAAACTCCCTAGAAAGGGAGCAAATTACGCTTGCGGCCTCGCTGTTCGCAGATTATTCATAGAATCTTTTGGAAATGTTCAATATCCTCCGTACGTGCTTACATACGTGCGAACTCGAAATTTCGCATAAAGGACTTGCGTGGTACATGAGATTCTCCGCAAAATTTGGACTTAAACGGGTAGTAGATTTTGATCCACTTACCTAGACTGACCCTAACCTGTATAATTAAATGGAGGGTTGACACTGTTACTCGATCCTCAGCAGTTTCGTCAAAATTGCATAGGGGGAGTAATGATGCAGGGGAGTATCGGTGCGGGGGAGTAACGATGCGGGTAAACAACAACCCGGGGGAGTATCGGTGCGGGGGAGTAACGGTGCGCGTATAACGGTAATTTTACAGGGGGTTTATCGATGCGGGGATCTATCGGTGTGGGGTCGTATCGGTGTGCATAATGCAAAAATTTACTAAGGGGGAGTATCGGTGCGGGGGAGAATCGGTGCGGGGGCGTAACGGTGCGGGGGAGTATCGGTGCGGGGGAGTAACGGTGCGGGGGAGTATCGGCATGACCCCCTTTGCACTACCACTAGCCATATTACCCATCTGTATGCTTGAGTCGTCACAACTAAACTGATGAACTTCACAGTTTAGAGATACTACCGCGCATGCGTCAAGGTATTAGAATCTTCTCCTCCGAGCGCAGCCAAGAATTAATTACAGCTTTGGAAGTAACTCGTTTGCACTGCCAGTAATTACGCCGCGGGGTATCCAGGGCACAGACCGTGATCACAAGATATTGAAAATAGATTTTTAGATTTTCCATGTGAACGGAGCCTTGTACTCACATGCAACAGACATGCAATTACAACCCATCGTGTATGTTAACACTTTGATCACGTTAAAATTTACATTAACTAAGGATTTAATGAGAATTAATCCTTTTGATGAAGGAACAAACCTTATGTCTCATAAGCAAAAGCATGTGTAATTTCTTAGCAAACAATTCACATTTTTTTTACAATCCATAACCATGCTCTTACTGGACCAGGTATAATTGTAGTAAAGATCTATCATACCGCTTTAAAATCCTGCAGCACTTGGAAAGTTCCCTGCTGTTGGTCATAGTACCACTGACCACTAGCAGCCACTTTTTTAAGATTAGTGTCCATGGACAGCTTCATGATTTGCTAAAGAAGTGAAAATTTGGGATGATATTTCCTAATTATGAAAGTAATATATAATTTGACTTCAATATATTTTGATATAAATCACCTTATATTTGGACCCCTCTTAATTGGTACAGTGTAGAATAAATAGGTTTCAATAATTAAATGGCATATACTTTACTAAATATATACAAAGTATGTTGGAAAACCATTTTTTAATGAACTGATACATATAGTAAATAAATTTGTGATTAAAAGTTATCTAGTGAGACTCCCCATGGTGATAGATCGATCTAAAATCTGTGGGAGTGGGGTCTAGGGTAAACCCCTTGCGTCCTCCCCCCCCCCCCCCCCCCCCNTATCCATGCCATTGTCCTGAAAGACAAAATATGAGAGAATATTGAAGCAAATTTAACGCTTTGTTATCAGTGTATTGTTTCATGGCAAATGTTAACAAATTTATGATTAGTGATTGGGCATTTGCAATTGCGTACCTCCTTGTGTGTGTGCATGTGTGCATGTGTGTGTGTGTGTGTGTGCGCGCGCGCGTGAGTGCTTAGGTCTGGATAGCCCAATTATTGGACATTCATGAAGTCAGAGTTGGTCTCCGACAAAATCTTGGGTAAATTTAGTGACAAATGATATAATACTTCACATTTGCATAGACAACATTAGAAAATCTGTACACCGGTGAAAGTTTACTATCCTGGACAAAATATGACATTCATGATCATATATATGATAATTATAAAACACAAGCTGAAATATTTTCATACTGTTAGCTTACAGTCAACCTGGACACAGGCCTTCATCAGACTGATGTCAGTACTAGTAGATATAATTGTTACTAAGTGACCACATGTTTGAAAATTATCATATATATTATAAGATCCAACTACCAAGCTAATGAACGTTTTTGCTCATGATGGTCAGGAGTTTACCTTGTCTTTCTCATCTGCCTCCTTTGCTTTCTGGCAGCTTGCAGGCAAGGAAAAGACACTGGGGTCCTTGATTCCTGCTGAAACATTAGTCACTCCTTGCACCGACATCATGCCAACTGAAAGTTCATCAGAAACAAATGTTATTTAACTAGCAGAGATGAAATTGGAGCTTACAGGGCTCGCCTTTCTGGAACAGGTAAAAATTCATTTTGGACAGGGACAGACTTGTATGCAAGGTTAAACATTCAGGAGTTCAGACATTTTATATGAAAATTAATTCACTTAGGGTGCATTTTTCCCAGCTTATTTGATTGAGTATCTTGGTAATAAATGCATTATACATGTATGACAACAAGTATTAATTTACAAAGTTCACTGAGAGGTAATATGAATGGATAAAATTATTGGTTTTGTTGGACAGGCTGGATCCAAAATCTGACAGATCAAATTTATGACCTCCTGCCTGAAGGAAAGTTAGTGGTTAGCCCTGGCTTTTGAAAAAAAAAAAAAGGAAAATGAAAACACTGCAGGGCAGGGGGGTGCATGTTTCCATAAAAATGAAAAAAAAGGGGATGGGGGATTTCCACATGAATCTGAAAGCTTTTTTTTCCTGAAACTAGGCCCTAAGTGGATGGAGAAGTTTATATTGTATATAAGGGTCAGTTGTGGCCATATGAAAGTGAACAGTTTTGTCATGTCAGTAACACCTGCATTATTTTATTTCGTCACCCCACCCCTAAATAATTTTCTTTTTTTTTTTTTTTTTTGGGGGGGGGGGGGGGAGGTGAGGTGAGGGGATGATAACATAACACCCCACGTCAAATGCACCACAGTTTTCTTTCCCAAAAAGCACCACTTTTCTATTAAGGCTATAATAATAATGCACCCTTACCTCCTTTAGCTGATCCTTGTAACGAGCTGCCAATGGGAACACAGTCTTTGGCAGTGACTTGTGTGTAAGACGTCCCCATGACAGAGCTGGAGTTCATGAAGATGGCCCAGTTGTTGACTTTAATGCTATCGTCGCCAAGTCCCACTACAGCACTGCCCATGAATTTGGAAGTCTCTGTGATTAGAACATGCAAATAAATATTTTCACTAATTTTGCAAAGATGGAAAGCTGGTGAGAGAATTTTATTGCTAACAAATACTTCTCCACCATTGATTTCTTTTGCTGATAGAAAATATTAATATAAATTATAATAAAATTATAAGATTAATCAGACATTACAAAATGATGATTCGTGAAAGTTTGCATCTTTTTTTAAATAAATGACAATGCTTCTATAACATTTTAGTTATTAGATTTATGAAAAATTGTGCATTGAAATAAATATGTTCCAAACTCCTCTTATTTCCTTAATAATTCAAAATAGAACACAGATTTAGGCCAAAGGTCAGGGTCAAAGGTAAAGGTCAAAGGTTATATATGCTAGGCATGCAGCCCATCCACGGTTGTGTCAGCTTGCTCTTAACACATGGTCCACCATTGGTGATCTGGTATTGTACGCCCTGCAAGAAAAATTTTAAGACAATGTTTTTGAAAATAAGGTTTTTGGTATGTTTATAGGTATATACAGTAAAAACTGAATCGTAATTATCAGTTAAAAATACTGAGTCCAGTGCATGGAATTTGAACTGGACATATGATGATCATTCAAAAAATAGAAAAATCAGAAAAAGGGTTCATTGTCTCTATAATATTATGATGGTAGTTAAGAAAAGAGACCAACTTAATAATATAAATTACGGAAAATAATTTTTACTTGGGCTCTGTTCACATGGAAAATCTATTTTCTAATAATCTATTTTCAGTATCTTGTGATCACGGTCTGTGCCCTGGATACGTGGCGTAATTACTGGCAGCCCGAGCGAGTTACTTCCAAAGCTGTAATTAATTCTCGGCTGCGCTCGGAGGAGATTCTGATACCTTGATGCATGAGCAGTAGGAAGTAAGAAAGTAAAGGGCGGTCGCGGTTGCTTTGAAAAATGTGTTTGTCGATTTTGTGCAACAAAAACATCCCCTTTGACCTTCCTCCAACTTGCTTTGCACTACCACTAGCCATATTACCCATCTGTATGCTTGAGTCGTCACAACTAAACTGATGAACTTCACAGTTTAGAGATACTACCGCGCATGCGTCAAGGTATTAGAATCTTCTCCTCCGAGCGCAGCTGAGAATTAATTACAGCTTTGGAAGTAACTCGTTTGCACTGCCAGTAATTACGCCGCGGGGTATCCAGGGCACAGATATTGAAAATAGATTTTTAGATTTTCCATGTGAACGGAGCCTTGTACTCACATGCAACAGACATGCAATTATACAACCCATTGTGTATGTTTACACTTTGATCACGTTAAAATTTACATTAAATAAGGATTTAATGAGAATTAATCCTTTTCATGAAGGAACAAACCTTATGTCTCATAAGCAAAAGCATGTGTAATTTCTTAGCAAACAATTCACATTTTTTTTACAATCCATAACCATGCTCTTACTGGACCAGGTATAATTGTAGTAAAGATCTATCATACCGCTTTAAAATCCTGCAGCACTTGGAAAGTTCCCTGCTGTTGGTCATAGTACCACTGACCACTAGCAGCCACTTTTTTAAGATTAGTGTCCATGGACAGCTTCATGATTTGCTAAAGAAGTGAAAATTTGGGATGATATTTCCTAATTATGAAAGTAATATATAATTTGACTTCAATATATTTTGATATAAATCACCTTATATTTGGACCCCTCTTAATTGGTACAGTGTAGAATAAATAGGTTTCAATAATTAAATGGCATATACTTTACTAAATATCTACAAAGTATATTGGAAAACCATTTTTTAATGAACTGATACATAAAGTAAATAAATTTGTGATTAAAAATTGTTACTAGTATTTGATAGCAAAACAGTTCTTTATGTTAAAGTTATTTTGTTTATAACCCCTCAGATAGATCCTTTATACTTGCTGTATTATTTGGGCATGAAACTATGAACACATTCCCAGAGATTTAGATCAATCCAACTAGATCGACATAACTCCCTGTGGGTTCAAGCTAGTTGCTGTTGGCCGATGTACCATGCACAGAATGTTAATTCCCCCCTTAAGGATGGGACAGACATTTAAGCTGGCTTAGCTGACAGTTATCTAGTGAGACTCCCCATGGTGATAGATCGATCTAAAATCTGTGGGAGTGGGGTCTAGGGTAAACCCCTTGCGTCCTCCCCCCCCCCCCCAAACTCAGTTAGGCCCTACCTGTACTAGTTAGCTAATATCCTATTAGACCGTGGAATTCTATTCCTAGGACTACCATCTTTGTCACACCGGTGTAACGGGAATGGAAGTCCGCTAGGAACCGTACGTAGTCTGCTTCTCATATACTTTGTACAGGCGACATTCGTCCCATACAGTACTAACCCCAATACTCCGGGGTCCGTCCTAATCATAATTAAGGGAGCCCGGACCTAGATATAATAGGCCGGGCTTCCATTCCTGTGACACCGGCTTTAGTGAAGGGCAGCGTCATGAAGGCTGCATACAGTGTGCAAGCAAGCGAAGCAGAACCGTGAGATTCTTAATATTTGGGTAAATTTCAATTTTAAAATAATATTTGTAAAAACATATAATTAACCTACCGCGGCCCTGTGCCCTTGACCTGCAACGTTCAGTCCCTGGCTTTGAGCGACATTTCCTTCCCATTGCGGCGGTGTACAGCATGGCTGGGGAGGCTGGGACAAAGCCGGAACCACAATGATCAAGACGCTGAATGCTGCTATGACGGTCTTCATATTGATTAAACTCGACTCTTGTCACTTTTAAGAGCGTCGATTCTTAACTGCTGTTCTTGTTAGTGTCGCTGTCTTTTTTATAGGTAGAGGTAGTTTCGCAATGTCGAGCAGCTGACCCGTGCTTGTGTACAGTAGGTTGGTGGAGAATGAGTCGGATTTATTTAGAACGCACTATCAGATCTCGTTTGTTTACCAGTGTAGATAACTGTAATTCACTACCTGCCGGTCTTGTGACTCTGGGCCGTACTCTCCTGGCAGCTGCCTCGTTTTCAATGTTTATTTCTCGGCAAGAATTTGCTAAATTGAGACTAATCGTATAAGGATATCCGATAAGAGTTATTCAAAGCATTGCAACCAGTGTTAGAAATTAAGGCTGGACTGTCTGCCCGGTGTCACGTGAAGAAACCGTCGTCGTGAATAAACCGTTCTGACGGATTATTCACGCGGGTGTAGCAGTCTGTTGACTTACAGTACATGCATTTCCAACATTTCCCCGTAGAGAAAGTTGTAGTATTATCAAACACACAATTTCTTTTTAATGAAAATGACTGAACTTTGAATTGAAAGAACATTGTAGAGGGAAAAGATTTATTCTACGAGTCTTAGATTTGCCACATTCTTCACACAGAGCAAAACAGTTCAGTCACGATCAAAAGCTCACTTCCAACATTCCCCCGTATACTGTAGTAATAAGATTATCAAATGCATACTCTCTCATGACGAAAACCTCTGAATTATGAATTTGAAAATCGTAGTTCAGTGCAAACATAACGCCTACTTAGGACGACATCGTCATACCGGAAGTTACTTCTTTCAATCTACCCTTAATGCGCATGTGCAGAACGGTTTCGTCACGGCACGGGTCTATCACGCCACACCGGGGCAGACAACTTTAAGAACGGGCAGAGAATTTTTCCCTCCCGGCAGGCATTCTAGCCAGCTAATTTCCAAGATGGCTGGACTTTCGGTCCAGCAACTTATTTTCCTAAGAGGCAAACACTGATTACAACCAATATATTTAGATTTTGTGCCACATGCCAGGAAGCATTATGCAAGCACTTTATTTGGAGCTATAAAAAATATTGGATACACAAAAAATAAATTGATATATAATTAATAATTCAGATTAATATAGGCCTACTATATAAATATAATGATTTATAAAAATTAAAAATTGAAGCATGATATGAAATTGACTGATAATTTAAATTTTAATAAATGTTTTTCAGAAGGTATTATATGATTTAACAACCCACTTAATTATAATCGTTTATTTCTATTATTTATGAAATGAAAATGACAGATCATATACTGGTAGATGTCAATATATGACAGATCGACAGTTTGTTGTACATAATTCCCGTTTTAATCATTGCAGTAATATCTGAGCCACAGGTTTAAGACTCACCTGGACAGTGGTCATTTGGTCAACATGGCTGCCCCAGTGGTGACCCCAGAGCAGAACAGAGGCACACTGCAAGGAAAAGTATGGCAGCCAAAAAGAAGAAATCTTTAAAACAATTAAGTTTAACGTTCCCCATATAATCTCTCATGGTATTTAAATTAGTACATTAATTAATTGATGTCTCTTCCTTAAATTCCTTTGCTGATTTTCATCTGATCATTTCATAAATATCAGTGAATAATTAAATACATGAAAAAAAAAATAATTACAATATTTTAATATTTGTTATCCAAATTGTAAAACTGCTATATAGAAGTTCTTATCTGTGGGGTACGTAAGTGTCATATGTAATAATTAAGCTCATGTAACATATAATAACACAGGGATTGGGCTTTGATGAGAAAGAATGCTTCTTCACAGTCTGTTGTCATGGTTACCATTCCAGGCCTGGAGTGGAAAAACAAACAAAAGTGGTTCTTCTGGACAGGATAAAAAAGTGAGTTTTATTCTTCTTTTTCAATTAAAAGGTAAACATAAAATGTGTATGTAGATAATTGTAATTATGTAAAATAGAAATATATATATATATATATATATATATATATATATATATATATATATAGGGATCGAGACTGCAGAGAGCATCACAATTTGACATTTTTCGTTATTTATTTATTTATTCATTTATTCATACACACATACACACACATATTTATATATTTACAATTTTGCATTGTGACTCATAACTGGCTGTATTTACATATTAAGATTAAATTTACCACCAAAAAAACAAAACAAAACAAAAAAACAACATATTTTGACCCCTCGTTTTTTATTCTCCATTGCTTCCAGGGAGTTAACTGTTCCAGAATTTTGTCACCCGTCCAATAGTACCACAACAGATAAGACAGAATAAGCAACAATTAAGTGATAATTATTAATGTAATGAGCATTGATTTATTATGTCATTAATTGATTAATCATTTAATTAATTTGTTCAATATGACGTCTACATATTTCACTCCACGTGTCCATGATTGTACTTATTATGATATATATGCATGACAAGAAGAGCATATATATTATTTGAGAATATTACATAAGTTTAGCTAAAGGTTTTGATGGACCAAGAATCTGGTATAAATATATATTAATTATAGCTTATCCATAAATGATAACTACTCTTAAAATGTTTGAAAAATGAATTAACAATTTAAAATGTTGATTCTGTCAGAAGTTTAAACAAGGCAGCAAAGCTGTCAAATGTACAGACAAAAAGCAGGAAATAACTATGCACAAAATAGGCTACTGTCAATTCTGATGCAAAAGTACATTATGTTAAACTGTAAATTCAACATCAAATTTTAATTATGCTCAACAGGTAATACCAATGAAAGTAAAATGTGTAACAAGCATAAGGCTTCAGGCCCATGAGAGTTCAAGTTCACACTTTGAAAATGTATAACTTCCAGAAAAAGAAGCCAATTAGACTGCTTTTCCAACTCAGGCTGCATGCCGATTTTCGAACTTGACCTCCGTTTTAGTAAGATTGATTACTCCTGAGAGTTTCATGACAACAGGCCTATCGGTTTTCCTTGAAATGTGTTTACAGTGTTGCATATATGTTGAAAAGTGAAAGAAAAAAGCATAACTTCTACAATAATGGCCCGATCAT